TATATTTAGAAACTGTTCAAGAATTAAATGTTTGTTACCATACACAAGTGTCAAATGTTTGTTGTTGTTACATCGTTTTCCTGTCTATCAGTAATTTTCGATTCCCGTCTAATGAATCTGTCACTAATTATTATTAATAGACTTAATTGTAATATGGAGTTATTGGAGTTATATTGACTATGCAAAGGGTCTGCTACCAACCACATAATGGAAAAGGAACATTGACTATAATTCCATATTTACTATGTGCATTTAGATGGAATTTGGCATGCTTTTATTAATATGTACAAGTCCATTGTACACAAGAAACCAATTGTGTCACAAAAATATTTGTACTCAAAATATGTCTGTACACTGACAAAATCAATCTGATTCAGACACTAACAAGTCATATGCAAGGTGATGTTCAAAATAAAAATACTTTTGTCTATTACATAGTTTGCATATTGCATTTGCATAAACAAAATGCACACCAACAGTTGTTTTTTTTTTTATATGCTGTATCTGGTATTTACTCTTATGTATATGAAGTAAAATGGACAGCCGATTACCCCGACATCAAATACATAATATGGTGAATGGCACTCTGTAAAACACAGCGGCATGTTGATTTTGACCTCACCTATGCACATAGGATTAATTGCTGCTCATAGGTAACCAAATAATTGTTTCAATAATTCAACTCTAATTACATACAGAAGATTATGAAGCTATTGTCTCAAAACATACAACACAATTGATTTTCACTATTACATTCCCACAACAACAATGTTTGTTAAGAATTTATGAATGCTTTTCAGCCTTGAGAACAGTATATGTTAAGATAAGACACTGCAATGAAGTTGTACAATGTTAACTGGAAGACAAAGTCCAATTACATTAATATTTCATACCTGGAATCCTCTTCAGAAAATCAGTGACAAGGTAATTTACAGCCATACTGCTTACTCTAAGAACTAATTTAACAGAAATACACCAAATGTTTCTAATTTTCAATGCATTTACTTTGGAGTAATTTGGTCTATCTTTAAAAAATTATGAAATTGTGTAACTGGAAAACTGGAGGGTGACAACTACTTGTATTTTAGTAGTTCTATACCCACAACATTTAATTTCACTGGTGGATAAAAACTGGTTAGGTGACAGTGAGTCAAGTTTAACGAAATATGTTGATACTCATAAGATTATTAGTGACAAAATATAATGTAAACAAGAAGTTGTTTATAAAACAGGAAAAACAGAGAAAGAAAAATTAAAATTAAACAAAATAACCAACTGCTGTAGTTTTTCCTTTTCCATATTTCCAGAAATGAATATCCAAGATCTATATGAAAACAAAATATATTATACTTACTTTTTTATTCCACCACGGTTCCCACATTAAAACAAACTTTCCAAATTCACACTTTTCAACCATTGTCTCAAATTCCTTCATTTCTTCCTCTGTTAATTGCTTCCAGAGATCAGAACAGTCAGTACTATCTTCTAAAAACAATAACATGAGTAAATGAATACTTGTCAGACCCCCCCCCCATTACAATTTTGTTAAAAAAAGTACATTAAGGTGGTCTTTATTTGCAGTTACATTTTCAGATTAAAAATTCTGAAGCTTTCATCCCCTACTTTTGTTCCAATGTACAAAAAACCACAGTATATCTGTACAAAACACTAATTTTAAATAAAGAACCAAACATCAATAAATGCAGGATAAAGGAGGCTATCTTAATCGAACAAAACAGCCCCACCTTAAACCAACACCACAGGGTACCAAAAAACCTATACAACGCTGTCAAGCAATCTCTGGTCATGTGACCTCTTTGTTCCATACTGTGTATATATATATGCATTTGTCTCTGTAAATTATATATATCTGAGGATGATATAATCTTGTCAAAACGTCATACATATATAATACATTTTGTTTCATTACCCAATAAAGCCATCACCAAACTTATATTTTCTATAAAATGGGATCCTCATCCTCAAACTTAAATTCATCATGGTGATTACTCGAGGTTGTGCAAGTCTAAACATTTGTCTTTGTTATTCTACATACATCTTTCCAGTATGCTCCCTTACTTGTCCACCACCATAAATCTATCGTACCGTGTAACTGTCTCCAAGCTTCATAACACAAATATCAAAATCGTCAAAAGGAAAAATGTTATTTCTTTTCTCCGACAATGCCACTGAATAGTTAATTCCAAACTTTTTCAAAGTCAAGTTATCCAAAACCTAAATCAATTTACAAGTTTTATCCTAAATATACAACATCAACTTATAAAAGCTACCCTGAAATATAAATATCAAGAAATAAACTATTCACTAAAATGTAAACAGGAATTAGACCATCAACCAAAGCAACTACATATTGAATCAAGAGAAGATATCTGTACAAAACAAAAAACTGGAACAATCAAGAAAATTACAACATGAAAAACAATACAATAAAGAAGCACAACCTAATCTTGTTATCAACAGATAAGATCGACCACTAAACAAAACTGAACTACAACTTTTGAGCAAAGACTTCAACTTCGCCATCAGCCACAAGACAGTTCCCTGCCTAAGAGTTAAAGACCAGCCTAGAAGATTTATCCAGAATACTAGTGATTCAATATATAAAAGAACAAAAGGCTACCTCCAACAACCAGAAGTAATCCAAAATTCCAACCACCAGACTTTTGTGATAGGTAATTATAACAAAATGCAGTTTCTGAAGTTCTCAAAAACTGTATCTTAAACAACCTTTTCAAAGAATTCTCTAACATAACCATTAATGTAGTTAACCAAACCTGTACTCTAAAAACCAATCTCACAAGCACCAAGATAAAATGCATCTACAACCTGAAAAAAGATACCAATATTAAAATTTTAAAAGGTGACAAAGTCAGCACTACTGTAAACATGAACAACAAAGAATACATTGACAAAATGAACATCGTTTAAGACAATAAGAAATTTAAACCCACCCCAAACAACCCAACGAACACACAAGAAAACAACCAAACAAAACCCTGTCACAAATGAAGAAAGACAACTTGATTACTGAAGATCTTCATTTTTTTATCTAAGGAAAACTGACTCCTGCACATCACAACTCTATGGCATTCCCAAACCACACAAACAGGACTACCCCATACAACCTATACTATCCACTTATAACTTGTTTAACTATAATCATGGTAAATACATAATCTGGGCCATCACACCTTACATAACTTCTGCATATTTTCTTAACGACGTCTTTAACTTCAGAAACACATTTAACCAACTAAACCCTAAAGCCTTAATGGCTAGCTTTGATGTGTCACTTTTCATCAAAGTACCCATTACAGAAGCTTGTAATATTTCACTTGACCTCTACAGTAATGACCCCAATCCTTTAATTCATACGCCCAAAACACTTTTTTTTCACTCTTAGAATTCACAACAACAAAAACTAACTTTATTTTCAACAATAAAAATTTTCTTCAAATACATGGTTTAAGCATGGGCAACCCTGTTTCACCTGGTCTAGCCAACATATTTATGATCCAGATCGAAACACAAGCCATATAAACCACACTATATCCTCCCCTATCCTGGTACATATATGTCAAAGACACTTTTGCTGGTTTCACATCAATCAAACACATACACACTTTTTTTTAACACACAAACTCCATTCATCTTAACATTAACTCTTCACTAAACACAAAAACAACAAACAGCTATCTTTTCTTAACCTTGACAATATCAGATCCAACACACAATTCAAAACCAAAATTCCCCAAAAAAATCACTCATACTCTGGAATCCTGCCCATGAATCCAAACAAAATTTCAATATACCAAAAAACATTATAAACACAACTTCAAGACTTTGCTCAACTGACTATAGAGATGAAGAAATCAATTCTATAAAGCATTCTCTCATTCACACTAACAAATTTCCACTAACCAATGTCGAAAAATTTCCACACAACCACCAGAACAAAAACCACAAAACTCATTTTACAAATAAAATTGACACAAGTACACCAAACATAAAAACTGGAAACCAGATTCACCGACACATAAGAAAACACCCTCCCATGTTTACCACCACTGGAACTCAAAAAAACACAGTACATTTATATAAAACACTGTAATTTCAAACAAAGAACCAAACATCAATAAATGCAGAATAAAGGAAGCTATCTTAATTGAACAAAACAGTCCCACCCTAAATCAACACCCCAGGGTACCAAGATACCTATGCTGTGAAGCAATCTCCGGTCATTTGACCTCTTTGTTTCATACTGTATATATATATATAAATATATATATGTTCACGAATCTCTGTAAACTACTTGTACCTGAGCATGACATAATCATGTCGAAACATTGTACATTTATAACAAATTTGTCTTCATTATCCAAACAAACTTTTTTCTATAAAGTGATTTCCTCATCATCAAATATCTGGAGATTGTTTATCGAGGTTAAATTCTAAACTGCAGTGGCCTAGTACCTTATGCACTATGTGATACAAAAACATGTTTGTTAAGCATTATACATGATTTATTTAAAATATATGATTATAACTTTAGTGCATGTACTAACACAAATACATAGTTATATAATTTTAGTGTGGTCGGTCACTTTTGTATTGTTATTATTTCGTTTTTGCTGTTAGGAAAGTATCTTCTATGATCCTGCACAACTTGAAGTAGGAATCGTTGTGATGGTATTATATTCTTCAAGTACTGAACTGTCTGTAGTGCCTCCCTGTAGTCCTCTTTGAGCTCCCATGACTCAGGGTCACAATCCTAAAGTCCAGATGGAATTTCAAGGCACGAGGAAGTCTGTTGTGGTCATTGTGATAAAATGTTCCTCCAAATTTCATCTACTCACCTAGATGCACTGTGAAGGTACATCCATGTTTCCCTTTTCCTTCACAGCCTTTAACATTTCTCATTTTGTCTCTGTGGATACAGTTAAATCAAAGAATTCAAAACCAATGAGTTCTTAATTGAGATACCATAGATGTCCAGCAAATTTCTGACAAGTAGATTTTGAAAGAGCAGAATTCACCTTCTTGTACTTAAAAAAAATTGCAGGAAGTTATGATCATTGCAAGGAGTGGAAATGGCATTAGAAGCAGTGAACCATGCCCTAAGAGATACTAGAACCACAAAGAAGCAGATGTCATCCAATTCACTCCTCATGGACAGTAAGCTTGATCTCTTCTATAAACATCTTGAGGGCATATAATACCTTGGCCATCTATAGTGCATGATGCAGTGCTCCACATGCTATAAATCACACACTACAAGGAGGAATGCCAGCAAGGTATGTTATGGCTAGTTCAAGAAGCTCTCGATAATATTCTCTAGGTTGGCTGACCTGAAGTTGTGTTGCAGCAAACTCAATGACACTGTCCTTAACTTCCTCTGTGGCTTCTCCTACTTCATCATGGTCAGCTGCAGTTTCATAACTGGACTGGTCCATGTATTCCCAAGATTGCTGGAGTCAATTTTAAAAAATTGCAATATCCCATACAGTCTTTGAAAACAAATGAAAGAACAAGTTCTAAAACAGGTTGTCAGCATTCCAAATACAGAAGATTCTTGTTTAATCTTTGTACTAACAGCACATATGCTCCATTACTGTGACCAGTGTAGCTTGTATGTTAAAGCAAACTACCTTTACACAATCAATGACTTCCCACTTTTCCAGCAAATGTGCCACAAAAAAAGCTTGAGCGTCTCTAGTGTTAAAAATCAACTTTAGAACACCTAGGAGATGGTTCATTACAGTTAACAGACTATATCACTGATAGATGGTCCACTTTTTCTTGAAACTACTTTTGTGTAATATAGAAAATTCCAGAATAAAAGGTGACAGCATGGAGTACTTATCAATAAAATGTTTTTGAAAATTTTGAATAATGTGGAATATTCCAGAATATGCTACAATACTCCAGAATGTGTTAGAATATTCTGAAATAATCTAGAACTTTCCATAATTATTTATAACATTATTTATTTTTATATTGGAACAAAATATGAGGGTGAGAATGCTGTAAATCAAAACTTCAAAAATAAAAGAAACACCATACAGTACATTATACAGTTCAATCAGCATGTAAATTACATTATAAAATATAAAAATTAAAAAACCATAATCAAAGCAAACTATATACATATTATAACCCCACACAATTCAATTAATCCTTAGAGTGCTTGCAAATAAACTAATACACTGTGAGCTTACAACCCTTACTTTATACCTTTCTACAACAAAGATTATATAATTTTGTTATACGTTTTCAGAGAATATGGTTTCTAAGAAACTTACCCAAATTCAGTTTTTCCAGCTTTTTTTTTAAACTCTCTTTACCTGAATTTCAAAAAACAAAAAAAAGGTAAAAGTCATAATTTTCCTATATTGAAAATGTATTTCCTATCAGTACTTACCTCCTCTCACATAAATAGCTATTCTTGTTTAGTGCTACCCTATATATATACAATTTTTTTTTTTTTTTTTCATGCCACAAGCCTTGAGCTCCCACGTAACCTATATGTTCAACATGGTTCAACTGCATCTCGCACAACCCTCCACCAACAGGAGTGTGACACACCCTCCTGATGCACGTGACTCCCTCTATTTTATTCTACTCAACTGTCACTTAGAAGTTTGGCAGAAAATGGAAGCATTGGGGGAGAAAGAATGGGAAGTGTGAGTAGAGGTAAGTAGTTATCTGAAATAAACTTTCAGTATAGGAAAATTATCATTTCTGATATGGTGCATTACCTATTTTCACATAAATAGCTATAATCCCACATTGGGTAGATGGAGAGACTGGAGTGAGGGAAAGAGAATCATGGGTGGGAGATTGCACAACTTCTTACCAGATATACTCTTCACCAAGTATGGAAAATAGGAGGAGCACATCCAAAAGAGAGAGAGAACAATGGTTGGATAGGGATCTGAACCACACAATATTGAATCTCAATCCCACAGAGTACATGAATGTAGGTGAGAGTAAAAAAGATGTGACTCTAGATGTAGAGTGGCTGGGGTGCAATGAACCATACGTGGCAAGTCGACTGCTTCCAAAACCCAGCCACCAGGAACCGACATCCATATGGGGAAGGAAAGAGGATCATACCAGCAGAAGTCAACTGCAATATAAAACCCTAGCCATCTGATGGGAGTTCAAAAGACCACAAGGAAATCTCGTACCCATTGATCTATGAAAGGGACACATGATAGCAATATGATACATTGTTTGACCAATCCAGGAACCCAAATCCTGGATGATCAGCATAAGAAAGATGTCCCTTTAAACACTCCTACTCAAAACCAATCTGAAAGGAACCTCCCCCTGTGCATACACATCCTCAGTATATGAAAATAATCAAGAGTTGGAATAAAAGGAAGAACCATATTAATCTGCAAGTATTACCCTGGTGACCCACAACATGGATGGAGTGAACAAGAGTATATTTGAGTGAAGGAACAGAGACACCTGTAATACATGTATGAGGACTTAAATTGATTGGTTCAGCTCTGAAGCCAAAACCAAGCCACTGGGAACAGACATCCATGTGATGGTAGGATGAGGGATCCTAATCAAAGGGTCGAAAGGAGGGGGAGCTACAATTTTCAAGGCTCACTTCAAACCTACAAACTCTCCCCTGGATAAACCCATAAACCCATGTGATGGTAGGATGAGGGATCCCAATCAAAGGGGGGGGACTGTAATTTTGAAGGCTCACTTCAAACCTACAACATCCCCCCTGAATAAACCCATACAGAGATGGATCATCAGACTGGAGGACATCTTGTCATCCCACCAGTAGAACACCACTGCCCTAATCTCATCTGTGTAGTTTCATCAGTTTGTATTGTATAACACTATCACATTTAGCTCCACCACCCCAGCTTGTGAATGGGAAGTGGTATGGACTCTCACACTCCACTGGAAGAAAATGCAAGTGGAGAGTCCAGAGGAACATCAACACTGGAGACATTGCTGTGTGTGACCATGAAAACCCTATATTGAAAAGTAGATCATACCTGATTTATTCAATTAAATGAATGGCAGGGATAGTCAGCTATCCTCTTCTGCTTTACCTATGAAGTCCATGGGTGAGTACAGGCCAGAACAGGCATATTGATGAAGCAAATCAATATTGCAAGGAAAAACTAACAAGTGATCTTGTGGAACACCCATCTCAAAAGTGAGCATTGAGTGGCCATGGAAATTTTAAATATGACGTCAACATGGCCTCACAGTGTGGATTTGACTATTTGAAGTATACCTGGACAGGCACCACTCACCACAGAGCAGGATTCGTACGGGAAAAAAAAAAAGGACATGCCCCTGAAAAATAAGAGTATACAGAAGATAACTTACCCAATCATTGTCACACTGAAGTCTGGAAAATGGCCACTGGTGGAAGACAATAACCCAATGATGAAGAAACAGTGATCCAATGCAGATAGTGAGAGACAAAAGTATGTGATGTGGTCCATGTGCCAGATTAAAGAATTTCCTCCAAGGGATGAGATGAGATGCCCAGGAAAAATATAAGGTGCCTAATTTGATGAGAAGACACCTGAAACAAATTACAGAAAGAAGGAGATAAGGAAGAATATGCCAATCAAATTAAAAGCCAAACCCAATTGGTAAGGGTGGAAGGAGGTAGGTCATAAACAGAGGAAATCTGACAAGAAATGAAGAGGCGGGAATGGGCACCACAGAAGTAAACCGTGTGGGTAATATAAGAATGAAGAGCACATATGGAACATAGTAGTCTATCCGGATTAGACCAAGGATATAGGTGGAAAATGGAAGGAAGGGAAAACGGTGAGAAGGAGGAGTTACCCTCACAAGTCACACAGGTCTGGGGAAGGAAAGAGCAATCATATAGAGGAAAACATATGTGGTATGATAAAAGGTACATGAAACGTTGATGGCAAATAAATCTAACCTATGACATCCACAAGCCATCATGATGAGAAGGAAATAAGTCTTAATGGATAAGTGAAAAATCGAACATGAGAGACAGAGGCAAAATAAAGCAGTGAAGAACCACACTGATGTCCCAATGAAGAAGGACTGCATACCGAGGAGGTTGATGAAATCGGAAGGAACACAGCAATAGTAGGAGGTGTAAAAACTATATACCGGAAAAATAAAAAATGTGGAATAAGGCAGCCCAATAACTTGCAATTGAGGAGATGGAAGAAACAGCCAAGTGAGAAAATCTGTAAGAAGAACAGTAGATTGAACAAATGAAAACTTCTAACACAAAGGCCAACAGCAGAAAATATTACACTTACACTTATAAACATCTATAGAGGAAGGGTGATTGGAACAAACTAAAAATGAAGTGACTCACCAGGACAATCTGGATATTCCTTGCCAAGGACAGGAAAAAAACAGGCGTGAAGACAGAGGATATGAAATGCCAGTGACTGAGGTTGATTTAGATGGGATGGAGTAAAAGGAAGAGGTAATGGTGGGGAACATTTGAGCTAGAGAAACTGCATAAACCATGGTTGTGCTGGCCAGTAAGGAGCAATAAGAAGGACCTGGATGACTGAAATCACCCTGAGAAACAGATGGATGGAAGAATACACATAAAGGTATTTCTTGGTCCAAACCTGACTGAATGCATTGACAGCCAGTGCAAATGGATGAGGAACCAGAGACCAAAACGGAGTAATTTGGTATTGAGGGGTGTGGCAAATGCATCTATGTGAGGAGTACCCCACTGAAGGCATAACCACTGGAAAGGAGAGGATCAAAAGATCACTCCATCAAATGAGCTTTGTTGGGATGGGAAAGACTATCCATGACAAGAATGCACCAGAACATGGCACACAAGAAGACAAATACTGAAAGTCTGGGCCAAAAAAAGATCTATGGTTCGACCACAAAGGGAACAATAACAGGTGCCACCTTGGTGAGTGATATAAGCCACCACTGTAAAATTGTTGAAATGGATCATAACCAGAGGATTCTTGGCAAGATGAAGAAAATGATGCAAAGCACAATGTACAGCCAGAAGCTCCAGGATGTTGATATGGTAAGATTGTTCGACCAGAGAACACAAAACTGAAGCTTCCTGCTGATCGACATATGCACCCCAGCTCTGGAGGGAAGTGTCTGTGAAGATATGCAAATCTGGATTCAGGGGAGGAAGTGAAACACCCACCAATGTGTGAGCCCTGTTCAGTGCAGATCATTGACAAGGGAAAGAGGAAGGGAAATACGAGCCTCTAAAGAATCCCATACAAGGTTCCACTGGTCATGCAGAGCCCACTAAAGAGACCTCATGTATGCTCAATTCAAGGGTATAAGAGCTTCTATGGAAGACCACATTACCAAACATGATAGAACCTCATGAGCAATAACAGAGGGAGCAGTAAGAGCATGAAGAACTGAAAACTCCATCGAATGGAGTTGAAGAGAAGACGTTGGATCCAACTGAGATGAGTATTGAAAAAAAAACACCCAACTGGACAAGATATTGGGTAGATATAATGAATGACTTCTCCAACTTAATTAACCAACCACATGAGCTGCCTCCAGGAGCAACAGATGAGTGTGATGGGTGGACTCATGTTTGGAACGAGCTAACAGAAGTCGTCCATGTTATGGAGGAAGCACAATCCCCAAGCATGCATATATTGGGAAAAAGCCTTGAGCACTTAACAAAAGATATACAGGGTCAAAGGACAGAAAGCATGATTGATAAACTACCCCATGATGAACAAACACAAGATAGTGCCTTGACAGACGAGATATTCGATTATGCAGATAAGTATTTGCAACGTCTACCTTTGTTATCCATAAACCTGCAGAAAAAGCCCACGTGAGGGTGAAAAAAAGATTCCATGGTAAGTAAAGGCAGAACCAAAAAGTAATTAAGGTGGGACAAATCGATTACAGGCCACCAGTCCCCAGTTTCCTTGGGTACCACAAACAGCCTGGAATAAAAACCCGGAAAAAGATCAGTTACAGGTTCTATGGCTTTCTGGGAGAGAAGATTATGTATCGCCTCTGATAGACATTTACTGGTGGTAGGATCCCAAGGCAACAGAAAGGATATTGATACTATCGGTACCAACAGAGGAGAGGAAAAAAAGTGGATGACAAGTCCCTTTGATAAAATCCAAATAGCTCAATGATCTGTGGTGAAAACTCACCATAGGGGAACAAAATTGGTCAATCGAGCCCCCACTGGACCAGAACCCACCAGGTAGTCACCAGTACTGTTGGTTAACGTGTCCATCAGCATTGATTAACACAATGACAGGAGGAGACCCTGGAGGTAAGAACTGGGAAGATGCAAGACAGAAAACAGTAATAGGGGCTTGTCGAGGCTCTTGGAATGAGACAAATAATAACCAAAGAAGAAAGAGTCGATTGTTGTCTCACCGATTCCAGGGAGGGGGGGCATACATAAGTCCTGGAGATAAGTACATGGTAAACAAACTTGAGACAACATAGTGTCCAGCCTCAGAAGATCCCAACAACCCAGAAAACACGTGTAAGCTAAAGAAGACAAATGTGCCAACATGGAGGCAATCAGGGAGAGGCTATCCCTCGAAAAACCCTCAGGATCATGGTGGAGAACCTTGGAAAGGAGGTGGAAAGTACTGTAGTAAAGTTTATAGAGTAAAATCAAGGCAGGATAACTGGGCATGGGATAAACAAACAGGATGATCAAGGTCCACCACCACATGGGCAAAAATGATTTCAATTGTTGAGAATCAAGAAATGGAAATTCAGCCTGATGGTATGCTATAGCAAACTGATCTGAAGCCTGTGAAGGGCAAGGCATGCTAGCACCCTCAACCAATGGAGAGATATAAAGCTCTGTATAAACCCTAATACCTGGAGAAGGAGAGAACACAAAGTACCAAGAGGAGGAGGTATCATCTAACAAAGAAGGAAGCCGTATTAGGCCTAGCTGATTCTGCAGTAGGGGTATAGGAAGACACGGCACAATCAGGTGGAGGAAAAAGGTCATCAAATTCCTCGTCAGCCTGAACAGGTTCAGCATGTTCAGGAGGAATATGGGCAACATCAGGAGAAGCAAGTTGACTCGTATAATGATCAATCTCTCAGCAGATGATAGCCAATGATTTCATAATTGAGTTACTCCACCTGCAGCTGGTATTACCTCAGAAGTGGTAACTTGGACTTCAGAATTCATTGTTAACAATGAATAATCAAAGACAACAGTGTTAGAATAAAGAAATGAAACTACGAAAAATAAGCTATCTTTAAGTTTGCAAATGTTTTTAAAATAGAAAAGAACAATTCCATTTCAGAATGAATGAAAAAAAACATGATTGAAGATCACAATAAAAAAGCATCTTGACACGAGCACTGCCAAATGAGAAGTGATAGTTTGGTAAGATTGAACAGAGAGAGTCGCATGCATCAGAAGGGTGTGTCGCACTCCTACTGGCGGAGGGTTGTTGCATGATGATTTACATACAAGACGCAGTTGAACTATGTTGAATGTTGGGTACATGAGAGCTTAGAGCTTGTGCAATTCAAAAAATTTTTGCATATAAAGGGCAGAACTGAACAAGATTAGCTATTTATGTGAGTAGAGATAACATACCATATCGGAATATTTTTTTTCTAAATATAGATCATGCACAGGAATCTTGTAATGAATAAATTTTGAATATGTTAAACTTCAACAGTGCAATTACAGTTAAGACAAATAAAAAAATTAAAGCTACATTCATCCCAACTAGCAGATATTAAGATATATATTTACATTCAAATAACTAAAGTTCTATACATTTGAAATTAAAATTAAACAAGATTTTATCTTTCTTCACAAAGGGTCAGTTGATATGCCAACTTGGTAACCACAAAGTAAGCATCATAATTTCCATACTATATCTTTTGATAAGTTTTGTGTTTCATCACAAAATCTGACAAGCTCTCAGTAAACATTACAAGTCTTTTGTACATAAAATCAGATTTTCTAATTAAGTATTTTTATTAAAGATTTCCCCATGAATAGATGGAGTCAGTGTTGACTTCTCATAGAGAAAAGCGATTTTCATGTTAAAATTGAAAATACTTTTAATCATCTAAAACTTCTCAAACTTCATTTCTGTAACATCTAAACCTCCAACATAAATATGAAGTGCTTTTTTTTTTAATAAAACGTTATATTTTATTTTCTCTACAATAATTCTGTATAAACATGGTCTATTTCATTGACTTTGTAACCACCATAAAAAAAATACAAAATAAATATAAATTCCCCCCTCCCCCCTTTTTTCATTCTATAATGACTACAGATTGTAACACTATTTTTGGAACTTAAGGTGAAAAGTTAATATTTTAACTAATAAAAAACACAGGGGTATGAAATAAAAACTATAACTTGTACTATTTCAGTTTTTTTTCATTATTTTAACCTTATCTAAACTAACAAGTTTCTAATTTTTATATTTTAGTTATTTTTACAGCAATAGATAAAAAATATACAAGAAAAACAAGAAATATATTACTTACATTTCATCTTGTTTTTTTTGCTGCCAGTTGCTGATCTAATTTAAGACTACTTTTTTTTTTATAATGATGATACTAACTAGTATGTTAAATCTTTTATTTACTTAAATGATGCATATAAAAACACAGAATAATAACATGCACAAAGCAAACAATGTCTTATAGCTATCATAATTTAACTGGCTTTTTAAATAGGACAAGATGGGCTTAAGATTACATTACGACTCCACGTCGTTACATGAAAGTTGACTCTATAGCTTTTTTTGCAAATGGTATTAAGCACCATATGTAATATGTCAAACATCTTTTGATAGAGGGCCTTCTGAAGTTTGTAAAAAATTATGATTGTACTTCCGTTGTCATTTCCAAATGACTTGACATACAGTCATAATGTTTGGCATTCAGCTTTCTCTGTGAATAAATCTATGATTCTAGTATAATAGATCTAATATACATCAAAAAATTTTTATTTCATTTTCCAATACTTTATTTTGAATTTTTGGAACACAATGCATTATTGACAACTGGCCTGACATTTATATAAAATTTTTAATAATAACTATCGTATTAATTTTATAAATTGTCACTTGATGGCAAATATTACATAATTATTTAATTTGTTTGCTTTACAACTCACTAGATGGCATGGACATGTTTTGTTAGTAAATGCCACTGAATCAAATCAATAGCAGGAGATGTCTGTTTCAGAAAACTTCATATTTCTCAAAGTGATATAAAAATAATCAGTTTTTCTTAAAACTTTCTCTATCTTTCAAACTATCAAATATAGATGACCTTAATATTTCAATTCCACTAAATTTTTCAAGAAGCAAAAAATATATATTGTAACCACTGATAAAAAAATAAATTATAAAACAATGAATATTGCAGTTATGATAGAATTGAGTTTTGAGTAGTGCACTTAAAATAATAGTATCAATGAACACACAGCTAATTTGTTGTCTGTATATATGTTTATGTTGTCATTGTGTTTCAATCTTCTACTTGTTTAAGCTATACTACAATCAAAACGATTTATGCTATAGTTGCCTTTGTTTCATTACATGGATATATGTAAACTAGTAACCAAAGCACATTCAGTTCATCAGGATGCTACAGCAAAATCAAATGTTAATATGATTCATCCAAAATGTGTTTATAGTTTTATATATATATGTATGTATGTATGTATGTATGTATGTATGTATGTATGTGTGTATGTGTGTATGTGTGTGTGT